ATTAATGTGTCGCTGTGGAGCAGAATGCGTTGGTTTACCCGAATGTGTGTCGGATATACAGTACAGTGCATGCAGATATTAACCATGATGCTTTATCTAATTTTCGCATTCTTCCATCTGGTGTAAGTTATGTTAGTGATTGCATATTTGTGACCCGCTCCAGGATTAACCAGGACTAAGTAGGAAATTCTATAAATTGAGTTATGTGCATATCTGAATAGATCATTTAATTACCTTTAAAATGATATATAATATTCGGCTATATCTAAAGAATTGACCGATCTTCAGCAATTTGAAGATCGGAAACCGACTTCTTTTTTTTTAAATTAAAAATTAATTGCAAAAATATTAATTAAAACATTTAAATTGTTGATATTTGTAACTACATGTTAAATACACTTTAATAATTATTATATATGTTTGAATCCTTAAAATAAAATTGGTTGAGCATATGGCTACACAATGTATGCAACAATTGAGAAAATTTACTTATTCACAATACACTGAACTGATTTTTTACAATCCTGCAACCGAATCGTAGAAAACCCTCCAAGGTGTGCAAACTGTCAACTTTGCTGTAAACAACACTATTACAAAGCCAATCATTGCCCAAAAACAACAGTCTAGTGATTGTTTTATAGATAAGACAAAAGACATAGACCATAAACATGACTTACGGGGACATATAATAGCCAATTGCAAGTCCAAAACGACTACAGAGAGCTTGAGGAAACACCCTGAAATGTGAAACACTTGGGGATTAGTATGCTGTGTCACCTACAGTAACAAAACATCAATTCTCATCAAATCATTTGGACTAACATTAGCAATAAATATCAACATAACCTACCGCAATAACTGTATTAAACTATCATAATTTCAAGCAATCTATAGAACTGCTTAGAATAATTTATGTAAAAAAATTAAACAGGCATAATTTCATTATTAAGGTCATTATTCAAGGTTATAATTTCATTATTAAAATATAGTTATATGGTAATACAGAGAAGATGTGCAACCACACAGTGTCAACGCAGGCCCTTACTGCAGGCGAGTGCTTTGAAATATTATAAAATAATGGTCGTAACTTGGGGTAGTAAACTAGTCGCAAATGTTTTCGGGGCTCGCCAGGCGTGTTATGACTCGAGTGAAGTGAAATAGCACTTACTCCCCAAACAGAAGCACAGCCGTTACCGATACGATAATAGCAATAACGGGAGATGAGATGCGGTCAAGAAATATTGGCATGGACTCGACGGCGGCAGCATTGGTCAGCAGAAGAGTGACCAACAATAAGTGGTGACGTTTGACCAATGGATAGATCTTTGCAGCATATTTCTTCTCATTGGGTTTCCCACTTTCTTGTAGCACCTGTAGGGAAAAGAACAATATATGGGCAAGATTAGGCTGCCTTGACTAAGAAGGAGATCTTGGTAGAGATTTTAGAGGTACTAAGACTTGAGTAATCATGTTTAGTCAAGCACAATCATAAATGATTTACTCACAGTCACACTATGTCTCTTTACCTTGGCAATTATGCTGGACTGTGTAGCTGAAATTCTATCATTACCTTGCCTCTTTTGAAACATCATTATGAAACAAAAGTGACTTAATTTGATCATACATTAGGCCTACTATTGATTTTGAAAAGGGACATAAAAGCTGAATTATCGCCACTCAAAAAGGGTATAGAGTGAAAATTGCCACTTTGCAAACGATCCTGTCTATAGCCCAAATAGAATTCTATTGCCTGCATGCAAGGCCGTCGCCGAGGATTGACTAATGTTGAAGCCCAGTCACGAAGGTGTGAAGTGACGTAAAGGGAGAGTGTGTGAGGGGGTTTCCCCCTCCCCCTGGTAGGGGTCCGGGGGGCCTACCCCAAAAAATTTTGAAATGCTACATGGAAAATGGTGTATGCTGGCGAGTTTTAAAATGAAATTCAAACATTTGAATAACCATGCTTCCGGGTGACATGCCTGGCATGCACATGAACATGAAATTCATGTCGTATACATTGCCCTTTTACAGAGGAAACGTCTACGGTCTGATTCACTCATGCAGAATGAAGGGACATTGTAGGGACAGTGATTTTCCGTTTAAAAAAATTGCCTTTTCCGTTTGGGAAAATCATGAATTCCGTTCCAAAGTAAAGAAAAAATGGAAATTCCGTTTTGCCATAGAGATTGTACACACCAAAAATGCAAAATTCCGTTTACATATATTTGCATGAAAAAAAAGCATTTGGTACAACCTTTGAAACCGGAACCGGCACCGAAACACAGGGCTACCAAAAGTCGTAATTGTAAGTCATTTCGCTCTAAAACTTGTCTGAATGTAAACCATATCATTACCAATGCTATTGTCGACTGTTTTTTGTGATTTTATTGAAATTTCCATGTTGTAATATGTTCAAATTACGTTTGCCGCTATTTTCGGTTTGAAAACATCTTTTCCATTTCCAATGGCCGTTTCCGTATTTTCCGTCCGTTTTTTGCGCTCGCGGAAAATCACTGTCCCTAACATTGCCATCTTTATTGCAATGTATTTTTGATACAAATCATGGTGGGTAAGTCAAGTGCTGATATCTACCTTAATCTGTAGCTCATCTAGTGAGAGAAGGCCCAGTGTCAGACCGGACATCATTCCTGTAAAATCAATCAATCAATTAACCATCTGTCAGGAAGGGTACTTTGGATTATTCGAAATGCAAGGTGACAGAATGTCCCAATGCGAAGAGCATAGATGTTACGCCAAGCTGTGGAGATGTCTGCTAAAATTGCGCATATTTTTCATACTGGTCAGTCCTATTCTTTGCGTTAAGAAATTAACACCCTGAGAGAATCGCGTATTTCCTTTATCCCTTCATTGACCATTGTTAACGGCATAATGTCATTATATGCAGAGATTGGACATCGACGCAACACTAGGCGAGCTAATCTTTGACCTATTTACAGCTGGTATGCCCCGGAAGTGACTATACGCACGGCGGCCGTGTGGATAAGCTACGTGTGGATAAGCTACGTGTGGATAAGCT